GAATGGGTGGTACTTATAGATTACAGGAGTAAATGATGAACTAACCGTAGAGTCTCTCGTGGTTTGCCGTTAGTTAGTCCATTACCTACCTCCTATGTTCATCATTGCAACCACCCACTTCCATCAATAGGATCTCTCCATATATGTTTTGTCTTCATTGTCTATGGCTTTGTCTATGCATTTCAACAATCAGCCCGTAGTATTTCAGTGGCCGAGCAGTTTGCACGAAAAAACTCTGGCAATTCCTTCTCCCACACACACTGCAATCCTAAGCAAGAACGTCGCATGAAGATTCAGACGTTGCAAAATCTTCGCTGATAAATTTCCAAACGATTTGTAAATGATTGTCCTCGATTTTTTTCAAAAAGTTTCATCCACAATTCAACCTCTTGTATCTGTAAAGTTCCAGAAAAACAAGTATAACTTTTCTGAAAATAAGTACTTTTATGCGATAAAATTTGGCTAGCGTTGAATGCACGTACGAACGACGTATTTCCATGGGCGAAAATAGGAGGGGGGGGCCAAAAAAATTCTACTCGGCCTCCTCCAAGAGGGGGGTTAAGGGGTCGTTCAAGTATTACATCTTTATGTAACTTTATTCACCTTTTCGAATTTTTGACCCCCCCCCATCCACCCTTGTAACGCACCTGTAACGCAGCCCTACACCCCCTTTTTAATTTACGTACCGCTGAACTGACCCCCCACCCAAGTTTTTAAAAAAATCAAGAAAACGCTGAAAAAACAGCTTGGAAAAAAATCGGGTTTTCTTTGGAGCTAATACGCTGATACGACGGGAAGAGATCATTCTCGATTTTTGCGCGTTTTTTTCAAAGTTTCTTTTTTCCCCCGGCTCGGATTTGTTACGTAACGCTGGGCTTGACCCCCCTCCCCCTTGTAATGCACCGTAACGGTAACGCTGCCTCAACCCATCCCCTCTCTCCCTCTAAGTGCGTTACGCAGTTCTTGAACGGTCCCTAAGTAGTTCTCCAGGGAAAATATGAAGTTTGACAGGAAGTCTGCATCGTCGCAAACCGAGATATGTGGTGCAGGAGTTTCACCATCTATTTGTATTATTTCACGAACAGTACTGTATTGTCTTCCCGTTGTATTTTTTACCAGTATTGTAAATGAGACTTTCTCGATGCGCTCGCCTTTTGTTTTTTCGCCACTCTCCGTCTGCTGCAATTCTTTTTTTAAATTCGGCGAGAGTTTGCAAAAGATTGTCTTGTCTCCGTCACCATTTTCATGACTTTTCCATATTTTTATCGTTAATTTTCGTGGAATTCTATGTTGTAACTCCGGCAAGGAATAAATACGCAGAATTCTCGTTAATGACGCCTCAGCGCTAATGACGCAAGTTTGATACGAAATAAGTGAAAAAATCCTGCGCCTGTTCCGCACGTCATTCTATAATTAAAAAACATAGTGCATGGCAGGGAGTTTCGACGTAAATTTCCGCTCAGATATGCTCGGTGGAAAGTGATGAAAATGACATCGTGACAGTGGCGAGGCGTGAATATAGATCCGAAGTAACTTTTTTTTTTTTAAAGAATCTATTATGAGGTGTTCGTTGCGAAATTGCGAATGCCCTGTTTATCGATCTATATAGGTTTGAAGGGCACATCAATCGATAAATCGCAAGCACGCAACGCCGCACTGAAACGTGTCCTTCATTAGCGGCATCCTTGTGGGCCTTACCCCGTGCTTTCTATTTACTCTGATGTATTTCCCGATGAAAAAAGTTAAAATATAGAGGCGTAAATGGAACAGAAAGTCTGGCTTTCTGACCCTTGTACAAATTTATAAAAAAAAAATTAAAAATAAAAAAAGTCACTGAAACGATTCCTTCATTAGCGGCATCCTTGTGGGTCTAACCCCGTGCTTTTGGCTTTTTCAATTTACTCCGATGTATTTTCCGATAAAAAATTAAAGTATAATGGCGAAAATGAAATAGAAAGTCTGATTTTCTGATACCTAGACACATTTTTAAAAATAATTAAAAAATTGAAAAAAAGGGAAAAATTCCCACTGAGGGTATGAGTTGAAACATAGATCACGAAAAAAGGCTGAGCGTCAGTGAATCCTAGCAAAAATATGTAAATAAATGTCTCAAGCAAACTGGTGTTAATATTTCCTCTGGTCTTGATTCCAGGGTTTGGGGAAATAACCTTTATCATAATGTAACCACTCATGATTTGCGTTCGCTTTTAATGCATCTCATCGTGCATTAGTCACATGATTTCTCTCCTTCCTCAGTTTCTTGTCTCCCGGAGGAAGGAAAGTAACCCGATTCCGAGGTTGCCAAATTGACTCGGACTATTTAGTTTTTTAAAAGCATGTACCTACCTGTTCGATTTTTCCCAAAAAATGTTCAGACTTTTGCATGAAATCAGAGGGAAAATGAGGGAAATTTTCAGTCAGAAAAGAAAGGTTCTCCAGGTAAATTGCAATTTCCGAGGGGAAAATTGGCAACATTGAAGTGTAGTTACTTCCTGCGAGTTCTCTCTCTCTTTCCTCATTTCTTTCTCTCTTCATTTCATACCTTCACCAAAAAACACTCAAGTTCGAAATTGCTCAAGCACGTAAACACCTCATTCGTACATTAAGAGTGTTTCTGGCAATCCGGATCGTACCTTTTTTCCTCGGCCATTTTAGTTAGAAGTGACGAAAATTTGGATTTTACATCTCGTCAGGTAATGGAAGTTGAAAATGACATCGCGTTCGACGTCATGACCAAACAGCTTGTCTGGTACGGTCACGTCAATAGGATGACGGAAGAGAGGCTGCTAAAAAAAGATGCTTGATTGGGTTCCTCCTGGGAGGAGACGAAGGGGACGCTCGGTTAAAGGTTGGCGACAGGGGGTTTTGAATGAAATGAGGTAGTGCCAACTCCCTGATGACTTGTGGGAGGACCGAGTTTTGTGGCGGTTAGGCGTCGCAGAGCGCCGGAGAGCGCTGTGAGAACGACTCATATGTGTGTATGTACATCTCGTCAGCATTGGCCCTTCGAATATTGAAAAATCGAGAGGTGAGGCAGCTTTCACATGCGAATCAAGTTTTATGATTCCGAGCCAAGAGCCAAAATCACACACTGATCAGTGGCGTGGCGTGAATTGCGATATATTGATTGTTATGCCATTTAAACCTATGGTAAAGAATCGATCATTAGGGTGTTCGCTGCGAACACCCTGTTTATCGATCGTTTTCCATAGGTTTAAATGGCATAACGATCGACAGATCGCAATTCACGCCACGCCGCTGCACTGAATATGGGCAGCTGAATATACCTGAATGAAGGATAGTCATCGGTCTGTTATTGAGTGGTGCCCTGAAACGTGCAGCACTCAGGGCATCGATGAGGAACGGGACTCAGCAGTCACCGGTCTGTCTGGGCTATTCAAATAAGTTTAATAGAATATGTGTGGATGAAAAATACCTATAATTACGAAAATTCAACTGTTGAGCTATGACATTCAGCTCCCAAACTGCCGTGCTAAGCAAGAACGCCGTAAATTCATCGAGATTTTCCCGCGTTTTTTGGAACTTAAAACTTTATAAAATAAAAACTTGCCCATGCACCTCAAATTTTCAGGTTGCGTTCTTGATAGTATTTGCGAAAGAGTTTAGTAAAAACATTGTCCCAAGGTACACAAGTTTTTCTGCTATGATACATTGTTTCCAAAAAAAAATTAAAATGGCGTTTTTGCGTTGCATGGCAGCATACTCGTGATTTCGGCCGAGGTTTTTATACAAAATCTAAATTTTAGGTACAGGAAAGCCCCTTCACCCCCTCCCCTTCCATTCGACCCCTTGCTTTTCAGCAAATGCACATAAAGCGATGTACGCACAATTTATGTTTATAAACTAAATACAGGGTTATTCAAAAGTTACGCACCACTGGCCATAACTTTAGTTCTAATTATGATATCGATTTGCGGTTTGTGGCGTCCTTCCTCATATCGAGGGGGAAACTTTTTGAGGTACTTTTCAGTTCTTCACCCCCCCAGGGGGAGGGGGGGCGGGGGGCAACTCAAAAATTTCAAATGGCAACCCCCATCATGTGATACATCGTTAGAAAGAGCATGAAAAAAGAAAATTTTTGGCGCAAACCGGAAGTCAATCTGACCCCCCTGTCAAAAGTTAGGGGGGTCCAAAGGTTATTTAGGGGGTCCGTACCTTCATTTTTTAGAGTAGCTTCGGCGGCTCTTGGACATACCGTTTCTCTTTTCAAAGAGTCCTCGAATACTCCAAGTCTGATACCGAAGTCTTCATATCGCCCCCGGGCCACCACAGCCCCCCCGTAGGGGGGGATGGGCCTGTTACAATGAAACATTGCATTAAAATGCGAAAAGTCACAGGAGAGCTTCAAACTTAGCATCAAATCCGAGTGGAACTTCTTGCCAATGTTAACGCAAACGCAGCCTGCGACTTTAAAGTGAGTTTCCAAAACTCTTAGCCCCCTGCCCCCCTCATTTTTGGTTGCAGAGCGGGTAAAAACCGGGACATTCACTACAAATAATGCCCGAAATTAATGTCCAACTTGAGGAGGACCCTTGAAACGTTGCGATCAGTCGGAGCATTGAAATACAAGGACTGCCACCCCCTTAAAGTACGGAAACATCCAAAACACCCCCACTGCCCCCTCATTTTTCGTTGCGGAGCGGGAAAAAACCGGGAAAATCGCCAGAAATGATGCCCGAAACCACCGTAGAACTTGACGAGAACCCTTGAAACGTATACTAACCCTTACTACCATTGGACTTAGATGCTGATCGTCGTTAAATAAAATTAACTAACTAACTAACACCCTTACATATATACATACATATATATATATATACATGAATTTGAATGGCATATATTTTCGTGATCTACGACCCGTGATCGGGAATTTTCTTTGGAAAATACACTAAAAAAACTGCGCCGCTACGAACACAAAAAAAAATCAGCTAGCATAGAGAGGGGCATGTGCCAAGTGCTCGTTGCAAATTGTTGAAATCGAGAGGGGAAAAAGTGGGACGTATTCTGCTTTTGCAAACGCTCGCCACGCGTATATTTTGACTTGGTCTACCAACTCGAACTTCAGATGGTAGTGGTTCCTGCCTTTAGCTAGGAGCCATGTGGTTCACACTGACGGTAGTTCTCTCGATTCTCTCACTAACGGAATTACCAATACACTTTCACGCTGAGGGTAAGTACTGTTTAAATGGTTAGAACCTGTGAAAAACGCAAAATCATTCTTCTTGACGCACTTCTGTCTATGGTCTATAATTAATGCCGCGCGTGTAGCGCGCACGTAGCACAAAAACATAACTCTGCCTTGATAGCGAAGAGAGCCTATCGAAATCGAAATCTCTTCAAAATTCATCTTATCTCTTTTAGATGAAATCACCGAAATAGCTACAATAGCGGAATTCATCTAATTTTCATGAAAACGAGAGATATGAGAAAGCCGTGCGTGCGCAAAAAATGACGTAGTTTCAGACAAAACAGCCGTAAGTGCCATTATTCCTCCAGAGAGCCAATGAAAACAGAGCTTTTAAGTAAAATGCCTCCCTTTTCCTGCCAATTTCTCACCTGAAAATCTGTTTGTTGTGCGTCCAAGATGCAACCACGAAAGCATGCAGAAGATGGCACTTACGGCTGTCTTGCTCAGTACTAGCCTAACATTAAAATGAATAACATCCTTTTTATGTAATTGCAATAAAACTTGTCGATTTTTAATCATCTGAACAATTTCTAAGAATCTTCCAGATAATTGCGGTGGCAGGTTTGACAAAGAAGGGAGGCTACTTTTAATTAATTTTTCGCTCCGAAGCTACTGAGCCCATTTTCTCAAAACTTCATTTTTTCACTTACGGCTTACTTCGCTATTAGGGCAGAACTAGCATTTACTCTTACCTTAATAGTACAGCGCCCTACCAAAAAAAAAAAAAAAATCATTATGTATAAAAATGAATTTTGATGACTGAAGTAGAAAAAAATATATCTCAGATTGTAACGTTGTCACAATCTCTCACACTTCGCACTCGCGTTTTACTTTTTAACTAGAGAATGAATCAACAAGTTTTGTTGAAATTTCCTGTGAATTTTCTCCATTAATTCTCAAAGAATCACACAAAATTGCAAGCGAAAATTCTGATTAGTTCTCCTTGAAAGAAATCACCTTTGAAGAGTTTTTCATCATTATTTTAAATCACGTTAGTGTGAAAAACCACGGTGGATGTTTTGAGAGTTTTTTTAAACACCATTTTACTCAAATTTTACTTCTTGTAAATTTTACTCAACAAAATACCCGTAAAGGATTCGCTACAGAGAATTTTTGAAAAAAATGAAAGAGTGTTTACCCGAAATTTATGAGTTTTATTTAGAAAATTAACATACTTGAATATGATACTCTAGACTTCTTTATGACAACGAAAATTTTAAAATATTCGAGCTATTAGAAACCGTTAGGGGTTTTTCCATCCTACGATAAAATTGCGTACTACCTGAGTGAGAGGTTGTCTCTGTAGATGAGATATATGCAAGCATAAGAGAAGGGAAGTGCAGATAATATTTAGTTATTAATATTTAGTACTAATATATTTAGTAATAATACTTAGTATTTAGTAAAAAGGAACCAGCGCGATAACAATGTTTTCAAAATCGTGCAGCTCCTTTTCTTTTGAAAATATTTAGAATAAGTACAGTGTTGACACTTACACAAATATGTTCCTTTAAAATTAGCAATTGTTGGGTGGGAAATCAAAACTATTTAATATTCTGGGAGATTTCTCAAATAATTATGAGGAAGCAACCGAAAAAGGTATAAATCCGGAACCTATTTTACACAAATTTGAGAATTAAAGGTCTATGGTGTGTAAATCTCTGAATGTCTCAAAACATGGACTTAAAACAGCTATTCAAATCGTTGTCATCAGCCGTGCGTGACAGATCCAGCTTGCACGGGAAAAAATTGTATAAAAGCATTTTTCTTTTAACTTTAAACAAATTATCTTTGATTTTTTTTGTCAGAGCAGCTTGCGATACATCGCATCGATTGGTTCCATTTTTTCGGCTACTGGTCATTTTTCTCGAATTTTGAGATCGCGATTTTGGTTGTCAGGAGACTAAAGAATTCACTTACCAATTGAGACAAAGAAATTCGACGATAGGCGTGGTTTTTTCAGAGGAAAAATATCGCATTCGATACTGATATCGAAACTGCACTCAAATACAATATTTTCTCTCTAAAAAAGCACGCCTATATTACGTTGAATTTGTTCGTCAAAATTGGTAAGTAAATTTTTAAGTCTCCCGACAACAGAATTGCGATTTCACAATTCGAGAAAAATGACTAGTAGCTGAAAAAATGGAACCAATCGATGCGACGTATCGCAAATCGTTCTGACTCAATATATGACTTCCATCGAATCATACCTTAACACTATGTTTTGGTCTTTTCTTCATCGTTGTAGGTTCTGCAAAACCTCAACGGCAAGAATCACTGGGCTTTGGGGGCCAAATGCGCCAAATGGGGGTAAATGCGTTTAAGAAAGTCGCCAAGGGTAAGTTCGCAATTCGCACCTTTGAGTATATTGTCTAAATATTGAAGAGCCCGCTAAACTCACTGAGTGAATTTTTTCCTGAATCGTGCAAATTTGAATGTCTATACCATAGCATGTTCTTGTTTCATGTTTATGATAATTTTGAGACATTTCGACGGTGAAACTACCAAACCACGTATCTCGTTTGCGGTGTTTAAAAATCTACGCTCACATTTTATTTTTTTGAAGTAGACCAAATCAATATCATCCCTTGAAATTTTCACAGAATTTTCTTCGCACGAAGAGGAAAAATCACAGAAATTTTCAAGACTGGACGTTAAGTAGTTTTTCATTTAAAAAATAAAGTATGACAGGAAGTTTGCGACGTCGCAAACCGAGATACGTGGTTTGGTAGTTTCACCGTCGATTTCTGAAATGCTCAACGTGATTACGTCGTGTAATTTTACCGGTTAAAAAACTCAGTCGGCTATCACTTAAGTGTGCAACGGACAGGACCCACTAATCGTGAAAATGTACAACAAAATGTAATGGAGTCATGCAGAAAATGTCTCTAAGGACCTGGATGTTTCCATAATAAAAACACCTAATGCGACACGCACCAAAAAAAAAAAAAAAAAAAAAAAAAAAAAAAAAAAAAAAAANAAAAAAAAAAAAAAAAAAAAAAAAAAAAAAAAAAAAAAAAAAAAAAAAAAGCACGGGGAAAAAATGAATAAGATAACTGTGCCATTGTGTTCAGGAGATAACTCTGCTACATTTGGCGCACGAGCCACCCAACATTTCCGAAAATTCACGCTTTTGAACAATTCACGGCCAAAAAACACAAAATCGGGAATTAGAGACGAGCACAGCTACCATTTGGCGCCTCTGTTGCCATCTGTAGTAGAGTCCCTTTATACCCAGAGTTAAGACAACTCACTTTTGGTTGGGCTGAAAGTGGCCTAAAAAAAATCCAATTCTGATTGGTTCTCGCTCATGGAGGCCGAAACGAGTGCACCAAGATGGCGGTACCTCGGATGTGAACAAGAATAAAGAAAATATTACCTAATTGTGGTTTATCAAGAGTAAATTGTTATTTCCATCGGTCCAAAATGAAAATAGATTGAGATTTTATTCACGAACCAATCTCATTTTCTTTTTAATTGATCAATTTGTTGATGTTGTTGTTTTTGTGTGACAGACATCGGAGGATTCCTGATCCTTGTCCCTCAATATCGTTCGTTTGGGTGCACTCGTTTCGGCCTCCATGGCCAGCCAAGGCCGGCTGCCAGTCAGCTGATAATCGAGTTGTCTTAACTCTGGGTATAAAGGGACTCTAATCTGTAGAAACCAGTGACGTGGCGTGCTTTGCGATATATCGATTTATCTTCCTTTGAAACCCATGGGAAAGGATCGATAAACAGAGAGTTCACAAAGAGCACCTTAATATTCGATCTTTTACCATAGCTTTAAATGGGGAAATATCGATAATCGACCATTCACGCCTCGCCACTGGTATATAGAGGCGATCCTTTCCAAATATTTATGACATATTTATCGATGCAAATTATGGTTAGAAATTTGAACCCGACGTTCTTGGAAGTATTAGACAGCGTCTAACACTAAAAACTGAAAATCGATGTTTCAACCGATAATCGGGGTTTCGCTGTATTGAACGACTTGAATTACGACTTTTTAGGGCACAATTGGACTGCATTTTGCAATTTTGAGCTATAAATTCCGGCCCGGTTAAAAAACAACGTATGTGCCATTAGTTTCCCTATGCACACAAGTGTTTTTTCAGATGAGCCAGAATTTATAGGTCCAAATTGCAAAATGCAGTCCAATTGGTCGGACTCCATTATAATATCTCCGTAGTCCTTCCTGTAACTATAATTCATATTTCTCAACAAGGAAAATCTTAGAATTTCTTAATTAACATGAAGTTCGTGGAGTAAAAAACCTCATGAATGAGACCTGAAGTTTAGGGCATGTGGATTTCTGAAATTGTATTGCTTGTGCAAAACTTGGGGTCCAGCTACCGAATTTCTGGTCACATCTGAGGTTCGCTTCACCTCATAAAAGATTCGACCGAGGTGTCAACCGAACTTTAGATGTGTGACCCGAACTTCGGCATCTCAGGTTTCCCGATGTTCGAACGGGAAAACTTCAAAGATCCACATGACCCGAACTTCAGGTCTCATGATTGAAGTTTTACCCACTCAAGAAGTTTTTTTCTACGTGTTGCGGAACCTTGCCGGGATTTTTTCCGCTTGGAAGCGGAAAAAATAATGGGTATATAGAATAATGCTTATTGGAATATGAATAAAAAAAAATGTTCAATTAAATTGAATGCCAATACATGTAACTGTTAATTTAATAGTAGGTAAACCTCGAAAGTCTCGAAGTTCATCGAGAAGTTTCAATGGTTCAGTCGGGAGTTTCACAGATGATGGAAGTCAAGTCGCCGATGACGGTAGATGGGGTATAGACGCCTGCACGCACAAAAGACAAACACGACTTCAACGTAAGTAACATTTAAAACTCGAAATGTTTTAAAGTTTTTTCATGCTAATTTTTTTCATTATTCTCCTCCAACTGATCTCAAGACCGCCGTCACCAAAAAAGAGACGACCTTGTGCTTCCGTAACGATGATTGTCCGTCCCCTTAAAAGGGATATTTTTCAAAGTGAGAGGCTCTTCAGGGAATCAGTGGGGAAAAAACTGTGTTCGGCTAAAAAATCCTATTTGATCTTCGCAGAAGAATGCGCGTTTTTGCGCACAAAAACATTTTAAAAACATCGCATGAACAATCCAGTTACCAAATTTCCCCGGATTAAGCATGTAATATTGACGAAATTTATGCACATTTTCCCCCGAAAATTTCAGGTATTTTTTATTAAATTACGAGCCAAATAGTTCTGAAAAATTAGAAGAACATATATTTACAACTTCTCCGATAAATTCGTATTTCATTAGAAAATATTTCGCAAATCCGGAAGGTTCATACGGCGTTTCTCCTTATCACGGTGAGTCGAATTTGATTCGAAGTCGACTCACAGGTTTGTCGATCAAATCGGTGTCGATGGAATCACGTCGATCGGTTCACGTTTTTAATCTTCGACCGATTTTTCAATTTCTTAATTATTTTACTAATTCGTCGATTGATTCACGTCGATCGATTCATGTTTTCACTTTCCGGTGTATTCAAGTCGATCAAATCCATACCCTTCTTTTTACATTCGCGTCATTCTCCCGCCCCTATACTCTCCTTGCAACCACGTTGCAACTTCACCGGCAAAAAGTAGAGCTGCAGGGTGATATTAACGGCAGAAGTGTGCGGAAGTTATATTCTAAGGAATGAGTCTCTTGGTGCATATAGGGAACTTCGTCGATACGGAAAGAGGCGCATCGAAAGAAGTGAAGAATCTAATGATTCCCAAACGAGAACTCTTATAAACTCAATCGTTGATCCTCTCCGTGGCGGGATCTACGTCTCTTTGAAAGAACAGAAATGTCATTTAACAAAGAAGGAGCCAACGAGAATGGAGATGTTGAATGCGTGAGGGATTTGCGATCTAACCATTGATTCTTATGTAAAAGTTCGCGAGAAACACGATGGTGCCACTAGTTTTCTCTGAAATCATCACCCAAGCTGAAAAAAAACTCTCAAAGTGTGGTCAAAATGGAGAGGATATCCAACCCTACCCTGAGAGTTCACCTCTACATCAAAACAAACCCTCCATGCAAAGATAGGAAGCAAGTAGGTACATTAGCAGGGTTGCCGTGTTTTCAGTTTTGGAGTCCCCAAATAAAGTGGCAGTCCTGTCAATGTATTTGCTCCCTATCTTTGCATGGAGAGTTTGTTTTGATGTAGAGGTGAACTCTCAGGGTAGGGTGGGATATCCCCTCCATTTTAGCCTCACTCTGAGAGCTGTTTTTGAGCTTGGGAGATGATTTCAGAGAAAACCAGTGGGATGATCGTGTTTCTCGCGAACTTTTACATAAGAATCAATGGTCAAATCGCAAATCCCTCACACATGCAACATCTCCATTCTCACACCCGGAAATTATTATTTGAAATTTCTGTTGATGTTACAGACAGTTTTTCTCCATTTGGGGAACGCTCCACAGTCCTTCGCTCAATATCATCAAAATGATATCGCTCATCATTAATACATTTTCGCCTATACATATCCCTCTGTATGCAATATACATGCAATTATTTCTTTTCACCTCTATTTCTTTTTCCCCAGGTTGCTTACTGCTTTTTCAAAGAAATGAAAGATCCAGGAAAATAAAGCGTAATTTTTCAAGAGGTACTATTTTTTATTAAATATTTTCACAGTGGGAGACAACTCTTGCTCAAAAAATACAGGACCTCTGAAACCTGCTGCTTACTTTACTATAAAATAAAATGAAAATAAATTCGGAAAAATATCGCCCTTGTCACGTGTACACTAATACGGTCTAAGATAGCTTGGTTGGCTGGTCGGTAATTACGATTATGAGTTGCCTTCACAAAACAAGTCATTGACATCCTAAAAAGAGGGATTAATACAGAGAGCCATATCATGTTGGCGTGTGTTTCTATGATCACGATATTTATCAAGTTTTGAGAGAAATTTACCTAAAATATTCCGAAATTCTGCGAACGTAAAAAAATATGCCATGCGTAAAAATTGAGGTACCTTCATTAATAATGATATATATATTTTAAAAAAATCCATTTTTGTGAAAGCCTATACCATTACCATACTCACAGAGGATGATACAGTAGTACATGAGCTCCATCTGTACAGCTCTGGAGAGTGACTCCGAGAACTTTTGTAAAGCACAGATGGGTAGGGAGAAAGATGCGAGTGAAATATTAATAAAAACATCACAATGAAAAATAAAAAGTTGAAAGCCTCTGAAAAATATTTTGATTTGTGTACCCAATGGAGAATTTGCACACTCTTTCTATTGCTTCATGTGCTGATCATGAGCTGAGTTCACCGTATTTTTCATAATTTTTTTCTGACATGGAAAATTGGAGAAAAATAGATTTAAAAGTGAGGAAATTTCCCGCCTTGTGACGTCATCTGACGGCATTTTCCATTTGAGCACATGTATTTTGGCAGATTAGGTTATTTTGTCATATTTCCTCCAATAATTGTCCAATTTAGAAACCAATGATATCCTCATACTCAGTTTCCCTAGCAGTATCATTTCAAACATGAAATTCACAAAATTTAAGACACCTGCAAATGCTCTATCATGAAGAAGAACCGGCGAGGAAATTATTAATTGTTGAATCGCATAGTTTGCGAGCATTTTTTCCTCTGATAAAGTTTACGCACATGACTTACATCATTTTTCTGTTCTAGCTGGTTCATGGTTAGGAGTTAAGCTTGGTATGGAAAATAAGAAAGAAGAGAGGGATAAAGCCATTCGCAAAAGTGGGAAAGAGCTCGAAAATAAACTCGTCGATTTTTTGTGTAAGTCGATACGCAGTATTCAACAACTACTCCCTGTAGTCTTTGTATTTTAATTCGATCAATTTTTCAGGTAAATAGATACTTTTGGGGTTTGCATCTTACCCGAAAACCAGTCTAAAGCTTATCGTCATTAGGTTTGATTAAAAGATACCTTAAATAAATGAGGGAGGATTTGAAAAAAAAATTCATGAGTAATGAAACCTTTGTATAGCTCTCGGCTGAGTCCGAAAATATTTATATAAAAACTACAAAAATGTGGATTTCAAACTGTTCTCTTCTCCCTTATTTTTTAAGCATACTTTTGGAGATTTTTGCACAAAATGTGCAGAAAATGTTTTGGAAAGTACGATGAAAAAGCACGCACAATTGTGTTCTGTAACGATAGGTTTCTCACTAAAAAAAGTTAGGGCTGGAATCTACAACGTAACAAACGAAGGTAGGTGCTTTAGTAACTTCATTTTCAGTGTGGTGGCTGTGAGGTCTGAGGCACATCCCCTGCATTTGCGGCATATAATCGCGGCTAAATAATTTTTCGCCCTCGAGTGGTAGTAAAAATTCAGATTTTGCATGATACCACCGCAAACAGGTAACTTTTACCGATATTTAGGCTAAAAATAACATTTTAAAAGAATTTCAATCCGTGTCGAAATTTTCAGATTATACCCTAATGCCTAATGCAGCCTAACGCTCTCGATCGCAACAGAAATTGGACTGCATTTTGAAATTTGGAACTATAAATTCTGTCTCATTTGAAAAAAACACTTATGTGCATAGGGAAGCTAGTGTCACATACGTTGTTTTTAAACCAGGCCAGAATTTATAGTTCCAAATTGCACAATGCAATCCAATTAATCGAACGGCTCGCAAGCCATGGGCAGAAATAGGGGGACGGGGGGGGTCTGCCCCCCGAAAATCTATTTGACCCCCGCTCCCAAGAAATGTGAGAGATTTTCCTGTGAGTGCCTGCGATTTCTTCCATCTTGGCATTGTACAGTTTTTCAATGAGAACAGCTCAAAATGGCTCCCACGATGACTCAGTGTTTCAAAATTTTCCGGCAAAGGCCCTCCGGATCCCCCTTTATAACTAGGGCAGTCCCCCAAAACTTCTTAGAGGCTGTGGTACTCAGGCAGACTCCCTTCAGTGGGGCGTCCTCTTAACCCCCTATAGTTCCTCCTGATGAGGTGCCCTTCAACCTGCCTTCCACGAATACTGCCGTGCTAAGGAAGAACGCCGTATGAGCCTTCGAGAGTTGCCAAATTTCCTCAGATAAAATGTCTATTTTTTAGTAAGTATAGTAGGATAGCAGGGTGAATATTCCTTTGAAAACTCCAACTTTGACTCTCAGAATAAAAAAAAGTATCGATATTAAATCCGTTTTGATTACAGTCTCAATTCAAAGATGTGCCCCCTCGAACTCAACCCCCTTTTCGTATGGACGAGGAAAATTACTTTGTTCTTTTATTATGCGTTGCAGTCCGAGATGTCGACGATCATTCACTCTTCTCTGCAGAAGATAACTACAGAAGAGATGTTCGAGGTTACTTGCCATCTGTTGCAAGGGATCCGGAACCGGACACTCCGGACAGGTTCCAGATGAAAGTGACTGACGAGTATGATTTTGATAGTAAGTAAAAGCCAGCAGCACGTCTACGACTTGTCATCGAGGGACTATCTCGATAATTTCAGCTTACTCATACCGCACGTTCGTCGGGAGAAAGTTATCGAAACCAGAAATACGAGAAGTGACCTCTGCCGTGCTAAGGGAGAACGCCGTATGAACATTCGAGAGTTGCCAAATTTCCTCCAGTAAAATTTTTATTCCTAGGGAGAGTTACGATTCTTTCCTCTTGAGATTTTTAGATGATTGTAATCTAATTGTGAAGAAAGTCTTTTATAAAAATTTGGAGGAAAAATATTCACAGATTTCCTAGAAAATGCGTGTTTTAACAGAGGAATTTCGGAAACTTCTGAAGGCTCATACGGCGTTTTCCTTGGCACGACAGACTTGACCAGAGTTCCTTTATACCTAGAGTGGCGCAATGTGCTGGAATCCATCTTTGATTGGCTCCCGATTCTAAGCTTCATCAGCCGACCATCCGCGAGTGGATTTAGAAAATTCGGTATTTTACGGTATGCTGAATAATTAAAGCTCGTTTGAAGACTAGGTCTAATTTATTTATAACTACAAGATGCCAATTTTTACAGAGACTAATTTTCTAGGTGAGTAAGTAATTCTTTAGTCTGAAATTAGCAAACGAATCAGAATCTCCACGTATGTAAGAGCATGTGACTATTCAGCTCGGCAATTGACACAACGCCTGCCGGCTGATGGCTAAAATTGATAGACAAAGTGATAGACAAAAAAGATATAGGGAGTATGGAACGATCCTATTGGTTGAAATAGGTGGCTCTCATAGATAAGCAGGGCCGGATTAAGGGGGTGGCCACGTGGGCCGCAACCCATGGCGGCAAATCTAGGGGGCGGCAAATTTTGCAAATTTTTTAAATGTAAAAAAAAATCGGATTTAGAAAAAAAATTACAGACGAGAAAAGGCTACAAAATCTCTCATTTCCTGAGAGTATAGTAATTTCTAATTTTGTCGTCTTTCAGTGATACAAGATACAGCACCTTTAATTAGTCGAGTTTAGAGAGAAACCAAACACACAATTCGGCTCAGAACGGCGCGACTTAGGGAGAAATGATGACGAGGACTTGAGATGAAAAGGAGAAGCCCTCGGCGCGGCAATCGGCATGTAACACATGTTAGCGCCGACAAGACTGCACGAATACTTCACGCATTGCATCAAACACAGTGCGATTATTGTGGTCAGCGTGAAACGGATAGCGCCTACAAGAATGCATGAATACTTCACGCATTGCGCCAAACACAGTGCGGTCAGCGTGAAGAGCATAGCGCCTACAAGACTGCGTGAATACTTCACGCATTGCGCCAGACACGGTGCGGTCGGCGCGGCGGCGGAAGTTAAAATCATTCAACGAAATTTTGTGTTTGTTCTTTCGTAATTTTTCCGTTCATTTCTTATGAATGGAAGGCTTTGTCCATTAGAGATAGGTTTACGAAACTTGACTTTCGCGCAAAGTTCCATGACCTTTTGCTAGTAGTGTTGACAGGGCCTTCCCAAAAAATGTGTTCAACACGAGTAAACGCGTCTTATGCACCCCTCCCCCTCTGGCACGTTCACTTGATGCTTTTAATCAATGTTTCAAAACGAATGAGAAGGGGGCGGCAAAATACAGGCGACCCATGGGCGGCAAGTAGGAAAATCCGGTTTTGTAGATAAGGAGGTAGATGATAGACTAACTATCGGGACTCTCGTGGGTTGCCGTTAGTTAGTCTATTACCTTCATCCTTTGTACATTGCAACTACCCGCTTCCACCAATAATATCCCTCCGTATCCTTCTTGTCTTCTTTGTTTATCGCTTTGTCTATCAATTTCAACAATCAGCCCGCTGATTTGACTCTCTGCCTGCGCGGTTTACACCATGATGACGTCCACCTGGCAACGTGGTGCCGTGCTCCACACAGACAGGTCGCTTTTAGCAGGGTTACCATTGAGCCTTATGGAGGAATGAAAGAGCGGGTTGCAAACTTCAGCTAGAGCAAAATAAGAGTCATTTCCTATTGAAAATGGCTCAAAAATCACGATGGGCGTGTCGGGATAGTCTGAAATACACTCCTAGCTTCACAATCTGCGTAAGAAATATGCGTTTTTTTAAGCTCCCTGCATCCAAAATGAAACAATGGCACAAATGAGCATTTTGTGAGAGGAGTCTCTCCATCCAACCCTTACGCTCTAGGATGCCAATCAATATTCAACATGTCTAACTCTTCCGCGAGCAAATCGTGAGGAAGCACCATGATGGTCTTTGTCAACGCAAGAAAAATAAAAATATAAACACGCCGGTTGATAAAACCCTGGTTCGTCTCATAGAGTACATAGAGTCGCAATGTAAATGGGAAAGCTGGCGCCATGCTACAATTGACGAGTTCCGAGACCGGTGTGCGCCGAGTTCGGGTCACTTTTTCGATACAAGTTCGATCCAAGATGGCGGTGCGGAATACGTGGTGATCCCTATCTTCTTTGTTTACATCGGGTGGCCGGGTACTCTTGTATCGCAAACAATCGATTATGTATCGAAAAAGTGACCCGGCGTCACACAGGAGTCTCGGAATTCGGGACCTGGAAAATGCTTAAAAGTAGCGCCAGCTCAACCGCCTACATTACGACTCTATGTACTCTATGGTTCGTCTCGAGTTGTGGTGGGTTGGCGACTGCCATGTTGACTATTGCGCGGCATCCTAGTGCGCAAGGGTTGGATGGAACGACTCCTCTTACGAAATGTTCGTCTACACCGTAGACTCGTTTTTGAAGCGGGAAGCTTAAAAAAGCGCATAATATAGATTGTGAAGTTAGGAGTAGATTTCAGACTGTTCCAGTGCGCTCATCGTGACTTCTGAGCCATTTTCTCCAAGGAAAAACTGTTCTTTTTACGCTTGCTGAAGTTTGCAACAGGCCTATTCAACGAAAATAAATCGAAAAACTTTTTCGCCTTGGAGGCCGCACAAGAAAATGATCAAATTTTTTTTAAAAAAAGACTCACTTGCACGTCGAATTAATTTTAAATTAAATTAATTTGACGTGCAAGTGAGTCTTTTTTTAAAAAAAAGTTGAACAGGCTTATTATTAAACCTTCTCTCGGTTTAAGCGCGATGCGACATGATTCGTTTCTGCCAATTCGTATCGTGCCTAATCCATTTTCTGAATTTCAGCAACGGACCCGGACGCCATCACCAAGTTCTGCATTCTTCGGTGCTTGAAGATTTACGGCTACTTTTTCGACTTATACTTAGAGGACCCTACCGTCGGATTCGTCACGGAAGGCGGCGAAGATTTGAAGGGGAGGGGTAGGATCATCCCTATAACTCGAGGTATTGTACGGTTCAATGGAGAGATGAGGAACAGAGGAGGGTCCCCCCGAGGGTCGCCGCGAAAGCACATCAGGACGGAATCTTTTAAGAAACTCCGTTGTGAATGCGAAATTCGGAATCAGTTCATAGAATTTGTCGACACTTGTGAGGCTGGTGGCATTTTGGATCAGTTCAGGGAGCTTAAGAAAACATCTTCCCAGCAAGCAGTGGATTATTTGAAGAAAAACCTGGTCGTATCAGGTATATACGAATGGCTCCCACACCCGGAGGTACTAGGACTCCTCTATCTGGAAATGCGGAAACGCCAGGACCCATTTCCTTTTGGAACGTATCCCTACAAAATAAGGAATGCGGTTGTCACCGCTGTTGGAGTTCCGGACAACCGATGGGATCATGATAGATGGTTTCAAGAGGGAACGGCTTGAATATCTAAAGCACCCAATCGAATGAATCAAAATAATCGAATAGGTATTGGACCATAGACAGGGACAGTGGCGGATCCAGAGTGAGTTGGAGGGGGCAATTTTCTGATGTCGAATGGGCGGTCCGGGGGGCGCTTCTCAGAGCGAGGAGGGTCCTCGAAAAATTGTATAAAAGTAGCCGTTCCCAGATCGAATTTTAAGCAGTTTTAGCATATGATTTGTGCATTATTTAAAAGTAGAAAATTGACGAATAATATACCCTCTCTTTGCGTAACTTTATTTTAGTAATGGACTGTTTATTTCTGCGATGTTTAGTATTAGTTAAAAATGGACAAGAGGGCAGGAGCATGCAACTAAACTATGTATTATATGTGAGTAACATTACAGATATAATAATAATACGGGTAAAAACATAGTTCTGTTTTAAAACCAGTTCAGTGAGTTTTTAACAGAGGAGACCCTCCACTGGCCTCCTAGCGGCAGATGGATGATTTTACTTTCGGGGATTCAACAGTTCCTCATGGAAAATGATAAGGGAGCAACAGTCATCACCTTAATTTCGGCTGTTGACTTACCCACATGGTGGATGATGAGCTTCGGGTGACGTCATGAGCCGAATAAGTTTCCCAAACTTTGGCCATTTTCGGCTTGTTTGCAAAACGGAACTGCCAACACGTTGTCATACATCAGCCATGTAGGTAAGTCAACAGTAGAATGCTGAAGTCCCGAAAGTAAAAGCTTCCACCATGGCCAAGATACTAGTGGATGGTCTCACTCCTTTACCCCTGCCCCCTCCCTTTGGACCCTCTTTTCCTTTTTTGGGGGAACACCACCATTCCTCCCCCCTGGATCCGCCACAGGACAGGGACAGGGCACGAAAGTGAGAGCAATAATATTAGATAGCGATAGACGTATTAAAATGCTTCACGTTTAATCCATAAGTTAGAAAATAATTGTTTTTGTGAGCGGCAATGCACACTTCGCATCACATGCAAGATGAATAGTATGCGAATCACGTGATCCGGAAGTTGGTATAGAAGAATATCTACGGCCAAAGTGCGTAACCGCGTATTTCCACTTGCAACGTCGCAGACTTCATGTCTCACCTTATATTTTATTTAGAAAACTAGTCAACGTAATTTCTTGAGAACCTCCTTGACCTTTGTTACTTTTTTTCTGTCTTTTTTCTCTGTTGCATAAATTTCAAGCTGTAAATTTGGGTTTTTCCTCCTCGAAATTATAAAACCGTAATTTTAACTGAAAGATATTAACTGAAAAAAATAAGTATGGTCTTCTATTTCAACAGTTCATGAATTGCACTAGTCAAATACAATCAGGAGATATACCCACATACCCACAATCCCTGTGTTTTCTCAAAAATTAAGTTAAAAATTAACTGTTTTCTAAATGAGTTAACCTTTAGATCCCCAAGACTTTCTTTAAACACATTTTCCCAAATCCGATTAAATTGATCCGTTTTTTGATAAACCGATTTTGACCAAATTTTTGTAGTATTATCTATGTTATTTATATGTCATTGCAAGTGAAGGAATACTCGTTTTTTTTAAATTTTCACTTTTTTGGTAACATATGTACTGGCAATTTCTCGCCTTTTCTTCTCATCCACATGTAACTCCTTTAGAAAAGGTAGTCAGGTCAATTTGGCCCGGCTTGAAATTTCTAGGGTAGTCGCAAAAAAAAAAAAAACTCACTGACTTTACACAACTCCCAACAAAACACCAAGTTTTAGACGTACATCCCTTTACAAAGCTCGACAACAATTTTTTTAATAATTATTCACGCAGAAAAAAACTTCGTGCGTGGGACCCGAAGTTGAGGTCATATGGATCTCTGAAGTTTTCTGATCACGCATCCGAAAATTTGAGGTCGAGTTGCCGAAGTTCGGGTCACACATCTGAAGCACTCGGTACGTACAGGAGTACTTCAGATGTCTGACCCGAACTTCGGCATCTGGACTTTAGGTTTTCGGATGCGTGATCCGAGAACTTCAGAGATCCATATGACCTCAACCTCGGGTCCCATGCACGAAGTTCTTTTCTCCGTGTTGATTTGGGAACATCATAGCATTAATTCATCGTTATCGTCCCTCAAATTTCAAAAATGAAAGACATGTCAACACGCGATGATGACAGCATTGAGATACAATTATTCGTGCCTGATTGATGTCCATGTTAAGTGAGCAAAATTTGACGTATTTCTGCCAAACGAAACTAAGTGCATTATGACGTGAGTCCTGTTGTGCGTATATTCTTATGGATCTCAGGGCTCATGTCTTAATGCACATAGTTTCGTTTGGCAGAAATACGTCCAATTGAAGCCGCGATGCATTGCGTGAGACGTGAACTCACACTGATCCGCTCTTTGCTGCCGATGAGGCGTCTTCTAGATTCGGAAGAAAACTTTAATATAAAAAATGAGGCCCGACAACGTCTCTTCTTCTTCGACTGTGTCAACACTCGTATTTTTCTCCATTCTTTTAAATTCGATGTCTGATATGATTCTTTTTTAGAATGTATTCGCGGACGTACATCGGTCGCAGGCAATTAGCAGTCGCCGGCAAATTGCGATCTATTCGTGTTGAATCAACAAATTAAAGAAAATTTTAGAGTGAAAAAACGAGTTAGGAAGTAGTGATTATTTTGCTTTGAATTCAAACATACGTTATCCCCTCCTTCTTGAATGCATGGTACCAGCTATGGCACACTCGCGATTTCGTGAAATGTAATCAATAATCTGCGTTGGATTTGGTTTGGTTAAGCAACTAAACTAACTCCGCAGCAAAGCGGAGAGTATCGCTGGATTTGAAGGCGTTCCAAGCTGAGGTCGTGCCTTGAATCTCTTCGCTACAGAAACCTTTACTACATCCATGTTATCCTAATTGTAATTTGACGAATTTACAAGTACGGAGCTTGCAAATTGCCGGCGATTGCTGACTGCCTGCGAAAAATACATAATTTTTTCACCATAGAACATGGTCATAGCAAAGGGCACACCCCGAAGAGCGTGTAGTGAAATTCGAGACGTTGGTTGGGTTTGGATAGGATAGGTAACTAAACTAACTCTGCAACAATGCGTAGCGTATCAAAAAGAAATGAAGGCGCTCCAACTTGTGAGCGTGTCTTTGAAGGCTATCACCCATCCAATCATCATTATGCCGATGCGCATAGTTGCAATTTCTCGAAACAACGTGTAAGCAAATTGCCAGCGATTGCTAATTGCCTGCGACTTACGTACCGGCACCATAACTCCCTCAGAGCCGATAGATATTCGGGTCAACTTGACCCGGCTTGGGGTTTTTACGGATATAGTTGCTATGTTGCTGAATATTTTTATGCCAATTTCTTAGATAATTCTGTTTGTAATTTGATCTAAAGTGTCTTAAAATTTCGAGGAAAAATATTCATAACTTGCCTCAAAAATAAACATTTTATCGAAGGGAATTCGGCAACTCTCGAATGTTCAAACGGCGTTTTTCCTAAGCACGGCCCACGGCAGTGCGGGGGTCCCAGCACCAAATTAGGCAAATTAGCAATTAGGGGTGCTTTAGGCAAATTAAATTCACCAAAGCATTTGTATCTCAGGCCCTAACTCGTTATTTTCTCCGTGTATCAAGCCAAAAAATTCCAACAAATTAATTAAAAATCCCAGCACGAACTATTCAAGGAGCCTTCAATGCTGCCGTGCTAAGGAAGAACGCCGTATGAACATTCAAGAGTTGCAAAATTTCCCCTAGTTAAATGTTTATTTTGGAGGAAAGTTATGAGTATTTTCCCTTGAAATTTTCAGGAACTTCAGGTGAAATTACAAACAACATCATCTGAAAAATTGGAAGAATAATATTTGTAAGTTTATCAGGAAATTCGTGTTTTAGAAATAGAAATTTGGCAACGCCTGAAGGTCCATACGGCGTTTTTCCTTAGCACAGCAGTATGTCTCTTCCCCCATTCATTCGTGAGCGGTATTTAATTGAGCCGGGACTCATGAGGATATGCAAATAAGTTACATTCGGATCGAGGCATGATAATCGATTATCGATATTTTCCCATTTGAAGCAACGGCAAAGACATAGATTATTCTTGTGTTCGTTATGCGAGTGCCCTGATACTCGATACTTTTCTATAGATTGGAATGGCAAATTAATCGATTCATTGCAAACCATACCACGCCACTGAATCGACCGTCGAGTCATTATCGATCTACCCCGATCGATAGATCCCAATCTTATAAATACTTACTTTGTATCGATCAAATTGTATTTCGATATATCGTAATTCGATTCGATAATGGATCCATAGGAGGCACGCCACGCCGGAGGGTCCGATTGCTTACCGACAAGGCAGTTTGAACAATGCTCCTATATTGGGAGGGGGGTGGTTACTTGAGGTTTGCGTCTCAGCGGGGGTACCACAATCCGCGGGGGGATGTCAAGTGCAGTTGCGCCGTGCCCCTTTTGCTCCGGCGACCAATCAAAGTTGCCAGATTTTGCAATGAAATAGACGTTCCACTGATGAAAGTGCGTAACTGCATTCAAACCTGCGTTTCAACTTCGACTAATAAATTTCATTTTTTTTTCCTCGAAAACTTTTGGGCATTTTGTCCTGAAAATTTCACTGATTCTTCAGTACTAAAATCGATGGACAAAGCAAAGACAAAGAAAATATAGAGAAGATAATGGAGTGATCCTATTGGTGGGAGCAGGTGGTGGCAATAGACAAAGGAGGTAAGTAATAGACTATCTAACGACGACCCCTATACTTAGTCCATATTTTCCCAAAACGTCTATAACAACCACCCGTTTTAAGCAGAGTAGGATCACTCCATTTTCCCTCTGTCATTTTTTTCTATCTCATTGTCTACAGATTTCATTAATCAGTCACCTGATTATACACAAACATCAGCACGATTATAGCCAGAAATGGTACAGTATGAGCTTATATTCCTGTACAAAAAATAATTTATTGAGAAAATTTTGCAACCTTGGAATGGAGTTAAGGTCTTTTATCTAGGAATCGACGAAATGTGGCCGTTCACTAGGAAAGGTACCTCAGTCAACGAAGGCAATATTTTCAAGCAATTTGCAGAGAAACGTATCTTAAGTTGGGTCGAAAAATCAACTTTTAAGACTTCAAGTCATTTTAACCTTTGGCGTGTTAAGCGACAAGTTTTGCTAAGGGGTCGGGTTAACTTTAATCATGTCTAATTTCAAAATAGCCCTCTAAAAGAACATTCATTTTTTTGGAATTCAAAGATTTTCAGCA